ATCTGATGACCCATGCTATCACTGTGGAGTGAAAGGCCATTGAAAGAGGAATTGCAAGGCTTACCTCGCTAGCTTGAAGGGAAAGAAGTCTTGTGAAACTTCTACTTCAGGTATTTTTGTTATCAAGGTTAATATGTCTACTTCATTAGCTTCTTGGGTATTAGATACCCGATGTGGATCTCATATTTGTATAAATATGCAGGGACTAAAGAGAAGTAGACCATTGTAGAAAAGAGAAGTTGACCTGCACATAGAAAATGGAGCAAGAGTTGCTGCATTAGCTGTAGGGACATACTTCTTACCACTGCCTTTGGGCTTAGTATTAGAATTAGAAAATTGCTATTTTGTTCCTGCCATTACTAAAAATATTATTTCTATTTCGTGTTTGGACATGAATGATTTTTCAATTAATGTGAAGAACAATCGTTGTTCTTTTTATAAAGATGAGATCTTTTATGGTTGTGACGTGTTGCAAAATGGAATTTATATTCTTGATATTGAGTCATCTTTTATGAGTATAGAAAGTAAAAGGAATAAAAGTAATAATCTAAATAATACATACCTCTGGCATAGTAGACTGGGTTATATTAACGACAAACGCATTTTCAAGTTACATAAAGATAGATACTTGTGGTCAACTGATTTTGAATCATTTGACAAATGCAAGTCATACCTGTTAGGCAAAATGACCAAGTTCCCTTTTATTGGAAAAGGAGAAAGAACCACAGGACTGTTGGGACTAATATATACTGATGTATGTGGACCCATGTCAATTACCGTCAGAGGTGGTTTCTCTTACTTCATCACATTCACTGATGATCATTTTAGATATGGTTATGTGTATCTGATGAAATTCAAGCATGAAGCACTTGAAAAGTTCAAGGAATCCAAACTTGAAGTAGAGAAACAAATTTGTAAAAATATTCTCATGTTGAGATCAGATTGATGTGGAGAATATTTAAAGGGAGAATTTTTAAATTATCTAAAAGAAAATGAGATTCTCTCGCAGTGGACTCCGCCATATATACCGCAACATAATGGTGTATCTGAATGGAGGAATCGTACATTGTTAGAGATGGTGCAATCAATGATAAGTCATGCAAACATCCCAAAATCATTTTGGAGTCATGCACTAATTACTGCGTGCTACACACTTAATCGTGTCCCATCTAAATTGATCAACAAAACTACATACGAGCTATGGAGAGGAAAAAGACCAAATTTATCTCACATGAAAGTTTGAGGCTGTGACGCTTATGTAAAGCGAAATGAATCAGATAAGCTTGAGACTAAATCTAATAAATGCGTATCTGTGGGATATCCAAAAGAGATAATTGGATATCAGTTTTATAATCCCGTTGAGAAGAAGGTGTTCATCTCAATACATGTCATATTCCTAGAGAAAGAGTTGATTCTAGGAGAGGGTAATGAGAGCAAAATAGAAATTGAAGAAGTTCAAGAATCCATAGATACTGTTGATCAATTAGATGAACCTAAGTTAGATCCCACGCCTATTGACGAACAGACTTTTGATCAGGATGTAGAGACTCCTGAGGACACTCCAGCTCAGCGTAAATCAAGTAGGATCATTCGACCTCCCAGAAGGTACGAATTCATGATTACTAATCAAGTATTATTAGTCGAGGATGATGAACCTACAAATTACACAGAAGTGAAGTCAAGTGTTAACTCGAAGAGATGGCAAGAGGCCATGGAATCGAAAATGGACTCGATGTATGAGAACAAGGTTTGGACCTTGATCGACCTTCCAGGTGGGTGAAAACCAGTAGGTTGTAAATGGGTTTACAGGAAAAAGATCAATGTGTATGGAAACGTCCATACATACAAAGCAAGGCTAGTAGCGAAAGGTTACACACAAAGATAAGGCGTTGACTTTGATGAAACCTTTTCGCCTGTAGTCATGCTAAAATCCATTAAGATTTTGCTTGCAATAACTGCATACCATGATTATGAGATATGGCAAATGGATATCAAAACTGCTTTCCTTAATGGAAACTTAAAAAAAGGAGATGTACATGACACAACCTGAAGGTTTTGAGTCCAAAGAAGCCAACAAAGTATGTAAGCTAAATCAATCCATTTATGGATTAAAATGAGCCTCAAGGAGCTGGATCTTCGTTTTGATGAGACAATCAAAAGGTTAGATTTTATCAAAAAATAAAGATGAACCGTGTGTTTATAAGAAGACAAGTGGGAGCGCGGTCGTATTCCTAATATTATATGTCGATGACATATTATTAATGAGAAATTTTGTCAAAAAATTTCTCCATGAAAGATATTGGAGAAGCAGCGTATATTTTGGGAATCAAGATATATAGAGATAGATCTAAAAGATCACTAAGCTTATCCCAATTTTCGTACATAGATAAAATCTTGAGAAGATTTAATATGGAAGAGTCTAAGAGAGGTTTATATCCCATATCACATGGGATTTAGCTCTCAAAAGATATGTGTCCTAAAACACATGATAAAAGGAATCGCATGGATAAGATTCCTTATGCTTCGACGATAGGATCTATCATGTATGCGATGCTATGTACGAGACCAGATGTTTTATATGCTCTAAGTGTTACGAGCAAGTTTCAAGACAACCCTGGTGAGAAACACTGGATAGCAGTTAAAAACATTTTTAAGTATTTGAGAAGGACTAAAGATATATTATTTATCTCTAGAGGAAATGAACTAAAGATTCATGGGTATACTGATGCCAGCTTTCAATCTAACAAAGATGATAGCAAGTTTCAATTAGGATATATGTTTCCTCTCAACAATGGAGCAATTAGTTGGAAAAGTTCCAAACAGGAGACAACGGCTGATTCAAAAATAGAAGCCGAGTACATTGCCGTTTCTGAAGCAGCGAAAGAAGCTGTCTGGATCAAGAAGTTCATTAATGAACTGGGAGTCGTTCCTAGTATTGTTGATTCCATACTTTTGTATTGTGATAACAACGGAGCCATCGTACAAGCGAAAGAACCGAGATCTCATCAACGATCAAAACATGTGCTAACGCGATATCATCTCATCAGAGAGATTATACAAAGAAATGACGTAACGATAGAGCTAGTTCCCACAGATGATAATATTGCAAATTCATTGACAAAGTCGTTGTCACAATAGAAACATGATCGTCATGTGGACGCTTATGGTATTAGATACATGAGTGATTGGATCTAGCGCAAGTGGGAATTTGTAAGTGTTATGCCCTAGATCCAATCGATTTAAGTTGTAAACACTTTTAATATGTTTAATGTATTTAATTTTGGCAAGATCTATTATTTATTTAAATTAATTTTCTGATAAATAATATAAAATAATAGAGTCCGAAGATTCAAGTTTTAAGTGATTTGTTAATCACAAGGAGTTGTGATTGTGAGATACAAATTACGTATGATTGGATCTTGAGTAATCCATGGTAGTAAGTAATAACTAGAAATGGATATCGTTATTACAGATAGATCATCACGTGTGGCATTTCCTACTTGTGAAGTAAGTAGCTGATCTCACAAGTTAGAGTGTGGTGACATTTAAATGAACACGTGGATGTTTTGTTATAGAACAAAACATTGGAGACCCTCTAAGAGATTCCATATGGATAACTATTTGAGTGTCAGTGGTTAATCTCTAACGTTCGATATTCGAATTAGTCATTTGACTTGAGGTCATCATAGTGCCATGTATGAGGACAGTCATGCTTTGACGGTGTTGGATGTTGCTCTACCAAGGACCGCTAATACGACATCGTTCGGGTATGTTAAGAATCATATAAAGGTTGTGAAAGACCAATAGAGAATTCGTTACTCTTAGATAGTAAGAGATTGTGATCTGCATTTCGTTCAATTAAATCAATAACGAAATCATTGGCCAAGGTATACACATAAGTCAAAAACGAGTTTTCGACTTATATTGACTTAATAGTAGAATGAAAGATATGATCGATAATCGAGATTGACACACTTCCATATCTCGTAATTGATCAGATCATATTGACGAATGGATTATAGTTTCATGGTAAACGAACGGGTTTGATTTTGTCATACTACGTGATATTTCTCGTCACATGTATTGCCCTGATATATTGCTAGATGTCAATTTGGGACGGCGAGTGCGAATTTATACTAAATTAAAAGTGTGTTTTAATTTATCAGTTTTGATTAGATCAAAATAATATTTCACGTCGTTAGGCATCGTGGTCAAGAATATGATGGGTCGTATACAAAAGAGAATTGGAATAATGCAATTTGTCAATTAATTAATTTAACAATCGTTGGATAAATTAATTAATTGGATTTGTTATTTATAGCTCTGAATTAATTAATCCAGTTAAGTAAATAGATTAATTAAATATTGAACCGGACCAGGTCAAGCCCGTTTGAACTTATATAAATACATGGTTAGGATTTTAGATCCATAGAGTTTTAATAATTATTGCTAGCACAAGACGAGAAAGCCCTAGTGGCGGCAATCTGTTCTCTGTGTGGAATTCATTGGAGGTTGGACAATTTGACAGCTTTGGCAGGCGGATCCAAGTTGCTGGAATAAAGATAACGCAAAGGAGTTTGCAAATTCAAGAAAATGTATAATTTTCATCACAGTTCTTATCTAAATACAAAGATGAATTCTGGTGAGAATTGAAATTGTTTTTATTTCCGTTGTGAATGTTTAAGTAAATTCCCAACGGGTGGGGATACTGGTTCTTGTTTGATTCTGCAAACATGTGGAAAGAATATAAACCGGACAACAGGTTGAAAGATTGAGAAATCAGCAGTCACTATATAATCTTGTCACGAGCTTAGCTAGCTGGTATAGGCGCTGATCCTGCTAATTACATAGTTTTAAGTTGGCTAGAAGCACCAAGGACACAGAATTTTGTATTGATCACGAAATTTCATTTTTCTCAAGTCATTCAATTAAATTCGTCACGTTTCTAGTTAAGGTAACGAAAAAGATAACACGGGAGTCTAGTTGGCTGTGAGGAAACACATCAGCTAAAAGCTCGACTAAGCTGCTGATATATCTTAGAATGAATACATTAATAGATAGAATTTCATTCTGTATCATGACATATTAATTCTTCTAACGTTCTACATTGTCAACCAGATAGATACTTCTATTGCAATAAATTTCTTAAAAATCACTTATGTTATTACAATTGAATGTTAAAATTCCTGGTTTCTTCACCTTGACTAACAGAGAATGTTGATTTCACTAAGTTGTTGCCATATTTAGCTGTAATCTTGTACTCACCCAAGAAACCGGCGAAGCTGTATGAACCATATTCGTCTGTTTCACCTTCCAGCAGATTATTGAAGTCATTATCAGTTAGGCACATTTGATAACAACTGTTTGGGCGGAGGGCTGTCCAAAGTATTATCCCATTGACAGCAGGATGTGAAAAGCCTTCTCTTAAAACTTCTTCTAGATAAATAGCCTGTCCAAAAAACAATGATCAAACTTATATATTATGTATTTTTTGCAGCATATGATGCCAAGTCAAAGAATAAAATTATCGATTATGCAAGAGAGATGCGTAAACCAGGCAGTGTGGCCAGTTTTTAGCTGGTATACCGAAAATTATCCAAGCCAATACGTTTATATTCTCTAACCTGACTTGCCTTACTGAACTGTTTGCTGATATCAACTTCTGTTAACCAAATTGGAAGGCCAAGAGTAGCCAATTTGTCAAGGATAGCCCTCATTAGGGGAGGGTTTGGCACATTGAAATGACCCTGAAGTCCAATTCCATCCATTGTTACACCACCTTTCTTTAGCTCTATCATTCTTGATATGTAGGTATCCACTGTGGAATTAACATCATCGCAAGTTTCCACCACATTATATTCATTCATGAAAAGTGTGGCCAATGGATCTATTTGATGTGCCTTCTCAAAGAACAGCAGTGTGGCGTTCGGTCCAAGCCTTTGCTCGTAAAAGTCGAAATGAAGCATTTCATTACTAACATCCCAGTGAATAAATTCTTCTTTGTATCTGCTCATAAGACTTTCTATTCTGTAGGTGACAGCTGATTGAAGATCAGGGCTTGATAGATTAAGAATCCATTGCGGTGATGACTTGGGGTTCTCCCAGAAGATATTGTGGCCTCTAGTAATAATTTGATTTGCTCGAACAAATTCGAGCATCTGGTCAGGTATCGTGTAGTTGACTTGCCCCGGCTTGGGTTCTGTTGCATCCCACTTGAGCTCATTTTCAAAAACTGCTGCATTGAATCTTTCTGTAAACCATTTCTGAAACAGTAAGAATTAATTTGATCAGCTTGCAATAGAGTATTTGTAGGAACAAGTAAAGTTCGTTGACACCAAGGTGAAACCTTGCTATAAATTTGGTGACTACCAGTGTTTATACAAACAATACCGACCTGATAGTGTGAATTTCCAATGATGGTCTTTGCTATAGCAGATCCAAATGGGAAATCTTTTGAAACTTGCTCTACCGTAATTTCCGCCCCTTGCAATTTGGCTCCGTGCCTGTCCGAGACATGGATAATAACTGCACGCTTCCTTTCCTGAGTCATATAAGAAGCATTATGTCAGAGGTTTCAAGGTAAAGATGTTTCTTTACAGATTCCTTGAGGATTAATGGCAGATTTGGGGAAATTCTAGTATCTTATTTGTAGACTAGATTATGTAACTTTATGTTCTTTAATATTGAATACTTGTCTACCTTGTAGATTTTAGTCTGCTGATTCAACCCCCATTGCTCCTTGGTGAATGGCTGCAGAGAAGCACTTGCAATCTCTATGTTGTAATCCCTACCAGCTGAATCCTGTTAAACCGAAGAGCAAGTAGTTCAGATGAAAAAGTAAGTCTACTGCTTTTTAACTCGCATCTCGAATTCTGAAAATTATACTCCTACTGAAAAAACTAATTGAATACCTGAAGATTTAGCTTAGAGAATCTTGATGATGATGTCAACACAAATCCACCCTTGAGAAATGACCAGCAACCTTGCTTGGCAATAACAGTTCCTATGCAACTTAGGTTAGTGTCTTCCATCACGAGACTAGCCCTTACAAGAGCTGAATCTGCATTCTTTATTTTGATCCAAACTGTTTTCGGTAGCTTAGTTATTTAAGTAATTTTGATTTGTACTTGTACGAGTCTCTGCTCATGCAACAACAAAATTTGACTTTCAAGGTAAAACTATACCTGAAAAACAATATCTGTTGCCCTCGGTGAGGTTTTGCAATAAAAATGTCGGGTAAGAAACTTGATCTCCATTATCCAGAATACTTTGTAGAGAATTCGGAACTTGATCTTTGAGGATACCACCGTTGTAAAGTGGCTCCTCAGGGTGCAGTTTACACTGGACAGTATTAGGATAGAAAAAGAAAGTTAAATCTTAGGTCACCAAATGGAATATATTGATCGAAAGAAGACTAACCAGCTTTTCCACTTACTTGCGTATAAGCAGAAGAGTCGTAAAGTGGCTCGTCTGCAATCAAAACGTAGTAAATGAAAAGAAATTTCTAAAACTAAACCACGTAGAGAGAGGGGGGAGAGAGAGAGAGTACCATAACACAAAACCAGGGAACTGCTAAAGAAGAGGAGCAAAAATAGAGAACAAAAGAATGTAAAGTACTGCATGCTCTTTGATTATCTGCTTAAAATGCTGAGTTGCAGAAAGACCCGATTCAGCTTAAATGCAGCCACACAAAAGGGCTAAGAGTTAACCTAGGCAGAGCTCAAAGAGTGTGGTATCACAAGAGAAATAGTAGTGTGTTTTTGAGAAAAACCGTGCCTATTCACATGCTGACATGGGCTTCCATAGTTTGCAGCAACTGTTTCTAACTTTGATTTCTTCCAAAAGCCATTGATCAGAAATTTACTGGATGTAAATTTGCACCTTTATTAATTTTTACATTTGACGCACTGTCAGCTTGAATTAAAATTAACAAAATCTCCAAAAATTACAAGTGTAAAGTAATGGTCTTGAATTTAAGGATGTTGGGCTAAGCTTTAACAGTAAGTAAAGAAAAAGTAAGATCTTGTACTGAATTATAACTCTTAGGAAACCTGAGACGTTGCTAGCAAAGATAGTTAACAAGTAACTTTGAAGCTTAGCCAAACATGATCTTTTTTGTGAAGTAATATGAAAAATGTCAAAAATATAGAAATAATGAGAAAATAATGTCACAATTAATTTGATAATTTCTAGAAGAAATTATTTAAGTATATACATCAACAATTTTGTGTTTTCATTTGCATAAGTAAGTCACTTTTACAGTTAAATATCGTAACTGAAAAAGCCCATACCCAAAACTTGGATCCATTCGTTCCCGTGACTGCAAGAACATGGTCAAGAATGTACCTTTGATGGCATGTGAACTGGCATCTGCACGACAAGATTCATTCGGCTCCAACGTGATGTATTTTCAGAAATTAACCGACTCTTTTTTTTTTTTTTCATTGATGATATCATTCATTTATTTGATGTTTACCTTTATGAAGCGATGAGTCATACGTGCCGATAATCCAATTTGGAGACTCTCATATTGAATACAATGACTATTACTATTTTATAATGCATATCAAACGTACACTAAGAGTGACGAGAGAAAATGAGTGGCATCCTATACCTAAAAGAGTATTGCCTTCATTTCTAAAGGTTGGGTTGCAGATTTTGTATGAGTGTGTGGAGGTAGTGCTAGTTAGGCGTGGGGGAGAAGCACTTATGAAAGTACACAGTGGATGGACCATTTGTGAATCCAACATTGGTGGCTGGCTAAAAGGATCAGAAGAATCGAGAGTGAACCATTTGACGAGACTATATCTTCAACAATATCATACCTAAAATACTGTTACGTTCTCTAATTGCCTTCAATGCACACGAGATGCGTTTAGACCATAATATTGACGATTCCTCTTTAACAAACAAGTTCAATAATTTCAACTTCGACTCATTTCCTGTAAAAATTCTACCACAAGAATTTCAACTCATCCCAAATCCATTTCTTCAATGGAATCTCAATTGAGGAACCACCATGAGATTGAGTAGAAAATCCACCAGACAATGCAACCTTACTCAAGTAAATCGAGTTCAGCTAAATTTAAAAGTACGAAGCACGTCAGTTGATCAATCATCATCGCCCTCACAAAAACCAGATACACACAATATTCCATCATGGGTCTCAACATATGTGGGAATGTCTGGTTTAAAGAACTTGATCGAGTAATGTTCACCAGTTTAGATGGTTGCGGATCCTTTGTTTCATAATATAATACATTAAAATGTATCACAATTATATTAAACAATGAATTAGGGAGCTCATTGTCACCTGAATAATGACATTTTGTCCCCTCTTTGGCACCACTTGTATAGATTTTCCAAAGAAAGAAATAAATAAATAATAATAATAATAAATAAAGATAATTTAATTCCATACTTTCCAAATAAAAAAACAAAAACACAAAAGACAATCAATCGGAAGACATTGTAAAATTTAGAAATGATAAAAAAGTCTTATACGCTTAGATAAACGATAAATATCCATATCATATTTAATCGTCTTCTAGTCTTTTAATGCTAAGGCTAATATCTATGTTGTATTCAATAGCCTTCAGATCTTTTAATGCTAAAATTAGTAGTGTATTAAGAAAACACAAGTACAAAATCGACCCACCCTAAGCAATTCAACACAAGACATACACAACCCAGCTTCAAGTATGTAATTTCGCCCAACAATCTTGAACACAAGATTCATCTAAAAATGCATAGGATACAAAATATCACAATTACAACTCAAAAAAAATAGAACAAGTACAAATCAATCCATACAATTCTATTATCACAATTAAGTAGAAATGATACTAAACAATAGTTCAGCATATACAACAATCCTTATCGAGATATCACCAGGAGAAGATTTCCCATCAATCCCATTTATTTATGTAGTCCTCTAATCTGATAGTAGAAGTGTGATATCATTGGCCAGTGGAAACTGAAGATGTCTTCTTTGATCTTCTGCTTGCATAGATCTTGGAGTAAACGCTTTTCGTTCTGATAGAGAGCAAAACATCGAGACCGAACCCAATAATGCACGCAATTGCCATAACCACAAACACTAGCCGATAACAGTGGGCACCTAAACATGTGTTCCCGCCTCCAGCTGTGCGTGAAGCTTCGGAATCATATAAGAAGCCAGCTAGCAATCCAGAGAAGACGAAAGATCCGAGTGGAAGATTAAGGATTAGAATATTGTAAATGAGACCATAATATTTGAGGCCAAAGAGTTCGGATGCAGTAGGAACTGAGACAGCAATGCGAACTCCATAACATATCCCAACCACAATGGAACCAACATATAGTGAGCCTGGCATAGCAATGGCCATTATGGTATATCCCACTGCCATTAGAATCTGTGAAGCTGCATTCCATATTGGCCTTGGCGTTCCGGCCCTCCTGTGGATGACAAAATAAAAGCAAGGTAAGCAATTGGAATTGACAAATAAGTGCCTTGAAATAATTGACATTCCAACCCAAAGTACTTGTTCAACTTCAACATGGTAGCAAGCCATGTTAAACATATTTGGGTATATGATACTTTGCAAAAACACGATGTATTAAGAACACGATCACAAGAACAGGTCAGCTCGATTCCTCTCCTAGAATATTCCATTAATAGTAATTTTTATTCATATAGGTTAGAAGTGCCATTTTGAAATTCCTTATCATCCGTGATGATGTTACAATCCCAAGTCACCTATTGAAAACGGCTAAAATATCCAATTGTAAGAGAGAGTTCAACGTTGATTTTTCAATATTTAACCCGAATATTCGTGTTAATTTTTTTCGGCCAAAAAAAAAGGTAAGGCATGAAAGTCAACTAGAATGGGTTAAACAAGGACTGAATTACAAAGAAAAAAGGCATGAAAGAAGGCTCCAGCCTACCACGTTGACCTAAAAAATTCTTAAAGCACGAAGCTTTTTTATTTTTTTTAATGCTCCTATTATAATTTGCAATTTCACCCACTCATTTTGACTTTTCTTCAGACAAAATCTCATGAGCCCATAGTTACCCCTTCAAGCACTTAAAAGCCAAAGTTTGCCCCAGTATCGCTTTCAATGCAAAGATTTTGCATCTCTTTAAAGCAGCAGCTAACCACAAAAAGAGTAAACAGACAACTTTTTTACATAAAATTTTCTAAGACAAGTAATTTAGAAGTTTTTGCTTCACACATTGCCAAAGTTGAAAAGAAGATCACAACATGCCAAGATTAAAAAAACAAAAAAAAAAAAAGCAGATCAAAGTGCATAATGAGTCACCATAAGTATATTCTATTTACATGATGCTTTTACATAAGCACAAAGAAAAGCAAAAGTGTAATTTGTGAAAGATGTAATGAACTTACTTAATGAAGTACTCAGAAACCCATCCTGAGAGAATGCGCCCAAAGAATCCCCAGATGCTAGTAAACGACACGAATATGGAAACATCGGTATAGCCAAGTGCCAACCCCATTTGTCCCATGTTATTCATCACTGTTAGGCCTGTCCCGACTCCACAAAGAAACGACACAAACAAAATCCAGAAATCCAATGTTTTCAAGGCCTCGATTATGGTGTGTTCTTCACCAAGAACCGGCCTCCTCTTTTCGACAAATTCCATTACTTCCACATTTTTCTCCACCTCCGCTTCCACCACAGGTTCTTTCACTTCTTTGGCTAGTAATGACTCAGTTACATTGCGTTCAATGTCCATGGTTTTAGGCTCAGAACAGGGCCTGATTAAATTCTTTAACGCGAGGTAAATTGGAATTGATATAGGGGAAGCTAAAATAACTAAAAGCACAGCAGCAAACACTTGGGAAAATAGTCGTCCGTGCGCCCCTGTTACATCAAATGCCAACAGATAGAGTGCGATAACAACAGCAAGAACGTTAATTATACCGAAATATTTAGTATCATCATTTTCTTCAGTGGCGGTGGACGACGGTGGGATTTCACGGAGGAAAATAATGGCAGTGAGGCAAACCACAAAGGGTATTACTGCAAGCATGACTAGAAACTTAGCTGGATCATCGGCGAACAAAGCCGAGCAGATGTCGGTGAAAATTGCGGTGCTTAAACCGACGTAGCCTTTCAAAATCCCGGAAACTGGGCCTCTGTTTTTCCTGAAATTCCTAATACATGTGACCAGAATTGCTGTATTCATCCATGTCGTGCTGTTTCCTCCCATACACATGAATATACACATCTGCACCAAATTCAGATACTATTATTAGTATATTTCACACTTCACGGCAGGAAATAAAGCGCATTTTTTGATATACTAACAGCCCAGTAAGGAAGGGGTTGGATGCGGCGGCTAACGACGAGCCACTGAACTCCGTAACCGACAAAGCCTTCAATTGAGCCGATGAGGAGAATGACAGGGCTTGGAAGGCGGTCGGAGGCGATTCCTGCTAGTAGTCCAAAAGCTTTTCCGACGTCTTTGGCGACGGAGAGGTTATTGAGCTGGAGTTGAGTGAGTGCCATGAGGGACTTCAAGGCGTCGGAATAATTAGAGAAAGTGTAATTATTGCCGGAGATAGCTTGAACCCACACTGCTGTGACAAAACCCAGCCATTTCGCGGGAGGGGACGTCGGTGAAAGCATGCCCATTAACAACAACAGTAGAAGAAAGTTGGTGAGATTTTAGAGAGAAAATCTTGAACGGTAGTGAAGCCGAGGATTAGGAATCCCATTATAAACTTTTTTGAAGTAAAATTCTAATTAATTTGGTTGGCGGATGGCGGAGTAGATTTCTACATTGATTATTGATACGCACAACTTGCTCCCGGAAAAGGGAAAAAACTGTATTAGTTGGTCCTCAATTTATTGTTTAAATAGTAAATTGATCCTCAACTTTTGTCAATTCTAATCTCATAATAGTCGCTCATTGAATAAAACCATCTAAATTTCTGTCAAAATATTGAGTTCAAATCGACCTCTGGTTGCTACTTTAATCTGATCTGCAAATGGTTCATTGAAAAACTAACTAAACACTTGAATCTTATGTATTCTTGCTTTCTTCGTTGCGCGAAAGCCACATTGAAACTCCATACCATATCACCATTTTTTACTAATTGTAGAAGTTTGTTATGAGTAACCACAACGTGCATATTAATAATTCTTAAATAATTAGTCATAGAGATGTTGTACATTAGCAAAATTTGGTGGGCCCCATGACATTTTTTTTCTCCTCAATGGCCCCAACTGCGATAGTTGTGTCATAAAACGTATCTATAGGCCTATCATCTTATCAAGTGGACTGCATTTCCTAATTAAAACAATGGGAAAATTGCGGCAACAGTTTCTAATCTTTTATTTTTTTATAAACTTTATCCTAACCTTCAATATGTGATAGCAGAGGTTCCTAACATTTGAGAAACACGCACCTAATATCCAAATGAATGGAAATCATCCAGTTGACAAACAAAAGTGAACTTCGACTAATTTTGACTAAATTGAAATGGATAAAATGAAAACTTTGCTATTATATACATAAAATAATTAAAAAATCAGAAATAAAATAAAAAGAGAGAAGAAATAAAAATAAAAAAGCATCTTCTTCCACATCTCACCTACCTCCCACTCCACCCACCCCCAAACCAAAACATCATCTTTCTTTGTTGTCTGTTGCATTTTCTTCACTTCCCCCCAACAATGGCAGCTACAAAACTCCTCTATCAAACCCCTACAATCCATCCTACAAAATCCCTAAAATCCCATTTACTTGATTTCCCATAAAATCCATTTCACCCTTCAAACTCAAGTCTACTTCAAAAATCGCCTTTCTGTGCATACGGGCAGTTTTGTCCCTCGTCGAGCCTAAAACCCAGAATCCCTAGCATTGTTTCACGAAATCTGAAGAGGTATTTGTATTGTGAGGGAAATAAGGTTCAGGTGGGAGATTCTTTGTGTTGGAGAAATAAAAATTCTAGTGAAGAGTTAGAGAGAAACTAGAAACATAAATTATTTTCCAGCTATAGAATTACTCATTTCACAATTGTTCGCATTAGTAATAATAAATTCAATTTCAAAGGCTGATGTATTGAAATAGCTGTGATGTGATGCTATGGAGGCAAAAAAATCTGACAGCAGGAATTTTAGTGGTGACTTTGATTGCTTGGGTGGCGTTTGAGATACCTGGCTATACACTGCTTTCATTATCCTCAAGGGTGTTCTTGCTCCTCTTCACAATTCTTTTTCTTTGGGCAAAATCAATAGCAATTTTGAACAGATTACATTGTTTCTGAATTCATTTGACTATATAAACATGTTTTGATGTTGATTGACAACATGTACATAATATCAAATGGAGGAGATTCTTTGCATTATTGTTTGAGATGTTGGTTTCGGTTTGTGGTGATGACTTGCAATGGCTAGAAGTAGCAAGTGGTGGTCGACGAGTTGTTTCTGGATTTTGGTTTAGGTGGAGTGGGACGTAGGTGAGATGTGTAAGAAGATAATATTTTATTGTTATTTCTTCTCTTTTTTTATTTTATTTTGCTTTATTTTATTTCTAGGTTTTTAATTATTTTACGTATATAATAGCAAATTTACAATTTTACCCATTTCAATTTGGTCAAAGATAGTCAAAGTCCACTTTTGTTGGTCAACTAACGGTCAACTAGATAGGTTTCATCCATTTGGACCCCATGTGCTTATTCTCCAAGGTTAAAAACCTCTACTAGCACATATTAAAGAGTAGGGTAAAATCTGCAAAAAAGTAAAAGGTTAGAGATCTCTGTTGCAATTCTCTCTTAAAAACAGTATATCAATTATATAACATGTTTCCATCTCACGAAATGACAATTTGATGGTGAGCCCAACGACATTAACTTCCCACTGTTGCAATAATTGATTAATATAAAATAAATTGACATTGTATGTCATGTAAATCAACTATTGATAGTCTTTACTATAAATAACATTATTCTAGCAGTCAACGTTTAAAACAGTACTCCCCACTTGGTTCCATTTGGTTCCTGTTTCAAGAGAACTGAACCGAATCATAAATCAATGATTTTTTGATAATGGAACCAAATCGAAACCGAACCATTTGGTTCTAGTTTGTTTTGGTTTGGTTTGTTCTAGTTACATTACTGATTGAGAAGAAAGAGAAAGATCATATGTAGAAGAAGAATTGAAGATTGAGGCTTCAAATTTAGAAATACATGGGCGATGGTGACTTAGTGCAACAGTAGACAACACACGATATTTGTTGGTATCCATGTGAGAGTCGATGTATAAATTGAAAAATGAGAAAAAAAGAAAATGAATTAGGGTCTAAGTCTTCAAAAGAAATTTGCGTCTCTAGTCTCCATATTGAGAAACGAGAATTCAAAGGTAACGTGACTTTTTATCTTGATTTTCAATTGACTTTTCTTTTCTTCTTCTTCTTCTTCTTCTTTTTTTTTTTTTTTTTTTAAATATATCTTGGTTTAGTTCTTGGTTCCACAACTAGAACCAAATGGTTTCGTTTTAACAATCAAAACCATTATTTATTTATTATTATTATTATTATTTTGCAGAATCGAAGCGAATTACTTGGTTTGGTTTGGTTATTTTATCCACCCTTACCCAAAATACATTTTGAAATAGTATTATGATGAAGATTGTATGATTACAAAATAAGAAAAAATTTTGGATTTATGTGTAACATTATTAAAGAATATGTGATTGAAAATAATATTTTGAAAATAATGAGGACCAAACCATGACCAAGTTTGTAATTATGGAATTGAGAGATTGATTGTTTGTTGATAATTCTTTTGACCTAATCCAAGATATCCTTTATGAGCCTATTTGGTACTAATTCTTAGAATCAATTTTTTGACCGTTAGATAGAAAAAGTAGGTCTCATATGTGAGTGAAGAAGTCAAAAATGACAGCTGACAATATTAAATAGCAGTAAAAAATTGATTTTTTGGCTTAAAAAATCAAAACCAAACGGGGCTATATATCTTTTCATTATATTTGGTCTTAGATTTAGTCACTCTTTCTATTATAGTCTTTGATTTGATATCATCCTTAATATCAACTGGTGCAAAGAAAGATTTTTTGCATTGTAGAGTCCAAAATTAAAATAATAATTTTTTTCTACAACATAACATTAATGAAAATAAGTGAGATTTTTTTTTTTTAATTCATGAAGCTATTATTATTTTTAAGGATGGAAGTTAGAATTTTCTCGTCCATAATACTACTAGAGTTGAATCAAGAGTTACAGGTGTTTTAAGGATGCTCGAGCGAAACTCATAAGCTCCAAAAGCTTGAGTATTCAATAATTCGGACTCGAGTCTCTTCTTCTAGCCTTGCTTTGATGCCCCAATGGTGATTTACAGCATTGCAACAGACAACGGATTTCATATGTTACCTCACCTACTATCACTCAACACCAGACAATACAAACCCCAAATTCAATTACAACTTGACAATTTCAACACTAATTCCAATTATGAGAAAGTGAACAGCGAGAGGAAAAATTAGAGGGAAAATGCGAGAAAATCATACACAAATATTAAAACCTTTAATTTCAAACATAAAATTTCCATACCTGATTAAAATTAGAGATTGGAGGAGGGTATTTGAGATTGAAAGTGGGTTTTTTTGTTTATTGAAGAATAGAGTAAATGGGTAATTGGCACAAAACGTCCTTACCTTTCAAGTTTGTTGTAGAAAATGATAATTGACACAAAACGTCCCTACCTTTCAAGTTTATTGTGGAAAACGTCCATTTCTTTCATTTTTTGACATTTTCGCCCCTGCCTTCCACAGTTCTTAGCGTTGAACGTTCTTTACATCCACTTTCGAAAATTTTACACTCCTATAAAAATTAAACAAAAAGAAAATAAAAAATAGAGAACTAATTGAAACCATGGTCCAAAAAATTTTGGGACACTCTCTTCAAAAAATATGGAGGAAAAGTATAGGCACACTCTTCTTTCTATTTATACCTTTTCAAAGAATTTTCACTTGCAAACCCTTTTATTTCCTTGTTGAGTTTAAGTAACAATAAGAATTTCTATCAAAGAATCTTCCCAAAAGAATATTGTCACTGAAAGCAGGGAGCAGGCCACCATGGGTAGGTTTAGGCACTGCAGTTTGGACAGAAATAGTAGCAGGGAGTGCCTATACTCTCCTTCGCTGAAATCAGTTCTCAACTTCAACCAACAATAGTTGACCATTCTTGGAGTGGCAAATGATATTGGGTTGTAAGTTCTTGACCATTCTTCAACCAGCCAAACTGTCCAGTTCTTGCTTTATTGGGTTGTAAGTTTTGACTTTTCCCTTCTATTAAAAATTGGGATTCTATCTATAGTAAAATAATTTGAAAGGTAAAGACGTTTTGTACCAATTACCCATAAATTACAACTACATAATTTTTAAAAAAAGATACAAATCAAAATTTTTTTGTGGGGTCACTTGAGCCCACATGAACCCATGTGGGTCCATCCACGATCTTCAAGATATATACTTGTTTACCTGTTTGTGACTTAAATTGAATAAGGACATAAATATAGTGAGAACAAGAAGTCGAACTCTTAACTTGTCGATAGTTTGTACTCGACCATATTATTAGGCCTTAATACCGTATTTTTGCGTTAAAGATAAATTTCAAATTGAATAATCATAAAATGAACAATGAACATATAAGAATTTGCCAATTTGGGCTACTTTTCTTAATATAGAATTTCAAATATTAATGACAACATAAAATTCGATATAATTTAAAACTGAAATCAACGTACAAATTTTAAGATTGATTTGCCCAATTTTAAAATCGTAACGTCCATCATGATGGAGACCGTGGG